CAGGTTCTCCAGTCCTTACGTGCGGAGCGCCCTCTGCGAGGATGGGCACCTGCTTTGTTGCGGAGCCGGGGCTTTGGCCTGGGCGTGCCAGACTTTTGGTGCCCTCGTTGCAATGCGGAGCTTGACAAATGCAGCTATCATGCACAAAAGGCATTGAAGGAGAAGACGTGCCTGCTCTTTCCGCGGACCATCCCAGACCTTTGATGACCCACCGGCAACCTGCAGCCCTAGGTTGCCCACCATCGGCTTTCATACGGCTTTTCTTTTGTGCACTTGACCTTGTTCTAGTTGCAGGAGACCCCGACCTGGGCCTCAAGCCCCCCCGCCTGCACTACCCCACAGAGAGTGAGCAATCGTGGGTTGGGCTCGGCACAGGCCTTGGTAGTGAAGTGTACAGTTTGCAACTCCCCTTTTCAATATGTGTCTTTCCGTGCCGTGTGTGCAATCCGGCCCTTTGCCGTGGTGACTTTTCATGAATTTTGCTAATGTCCGTTGAAATACCTGACCGGGGTGGTTGCGCCGAAGGCTTCAGTGGCCCTTTGTGGTGTAGCTGGTGTCCAGCAACCGGTTTACATTTTAGACTGTGTTTATGTTATTGTTCAAATGGGACGCTTCTCCACATTGGCTTGAGACGATCGGATCGCTTTGGGATGCTATGAAAGAAATTGAAAGAATCTGGGCAGGTCAAACCAAACACGGTAAGGGCAAAAAAAGGTTCACCTCCGGGCTTTTTGGGGGAAGAACCCGGGTGCCTTCTGAAGACCTTTGTTGGCCATGAAGACGCTCACAAGAGGCACTGGGGCTTGGTTGGAATCATTGCATTTTTGGTGCGAAAATCCAGAGATCTGGCAACATCACTCACATTCGCTAGATCAATCTTATCACCTACATACTCTATGGACAAATTCCTGCATCATCCGAGAACCACCATTCTTTTCAGCTATGATTTTTATGTATCTTGAATTGTGGATTTGTAGAAAGCCACCAGGAAGGCTTCGCCATCTTCGCCGGTCCAAGTGTACCACCTGAAGTTTGTTGGGAATCGCGGCTTCCCTCGCAGCCTCCGGTTCGCCTGCCAACACCAGGCGACCGGTTCATCATCGAAACCCAGGCGGGAAACGTAAGGTGCAGACTGTGCTGGGCCATGTGGCAGGCCTCGGAAAGTGTTTTGAGGGGTGGAAAAGGACATTTCATGCAGAAATCGTCCAACTTACGCACGTTTTGAACCATCTCACTTGCCCAACTCTGTGGAAGTAAGTGGCTAGCTCATTGGTTTGAGTAAAAATCATTGGATCAGCGCATGTTTTACCAAACTGACACGCTTATTCTCTTCCACGCCCGGGGTCTTAGCATTTTCTGTGGCAGGCTAGTTTTGCCAGCCACAAAACTAACATCATCGAGCCCGGTTCAACATCCAGCGTTCTGCTGGATGATGGGCTTCATGGGCTGCTCAGGAAGTCCTTGCGCCAAAAAAAGTTGGAGGTGGGGCCCCGCCGCCTTGCCTGGCGGATGATGGAGTTGATGAGGTTGAAAGACCAAACCAATGATTTGATGGTGCATTGAATCATGTATATATATATATTATGTAATAATTATGATAAATAATGATTGATTTAACCATCCATAGACTGTAGGACTGAGAATGGTTCTCGCAGTCATTTTGGGCGGGATGGTTTGGTATGATTTAATCATCTATCGGTGGAGTCATCTACGGATATCTACGGTGCTTGTTTCTAGAGAGTGAATTTTGCCTTATATTTGATCCTATTTGCTGATGTTTGGTCTCAAGGGATTGGGTTCTGACTTCATGATGATTCATCAAGCTGCAGCTGCTACCGTGATGGAAGTGGACAACCCCCTGTTTGTAGAGCAGGGACTTCCGTCATCCAACGGGCGCCATCCACTTTCATGATTGTTTCATCCTATTGTCCTGTGAACTTGGGAACTCGGCTTTGAGCACCTTTCATGCCCAGATCATGTGAGTGGTTGCATCGAACATGTAATATAACTCGTCGCAAGATCACAGGAGCTCCTCGACAAAAAGCCTCGTGTGTCGAGAGCTGGTTTGTCGAAAGCCGGGGCACCCCTTTGGACTGGCACACCGTTTGTCGGCTGATCCCGCCTCACCAGTGGAAAGAAAAACGAAGACAAGTCGACTTACATGCTTTTACGTACTCTTATTTACATACTCTTACTGTTTACTGCATGGCCTGACATGCCGTAGTTCCTGCAGATCAGTCGGTACAGTGTACCCATGAGACGTTGCCAAGACTTCTGTCGAACGTGCCTTTCTGGCAAATTCCAGGTCCCCACAGGCGCGAGAAGGTCCTTCTTTGAGCCTTTTTTTGTGTCCGAGTGCACCACCTGAAAGGGCCTTTCCGAATGACGTCACGGACGTCGCTATTCCAGGACGACGTCGCGACCGCGCAAGCGCCAGGGAGACGAGGCGATGTTCCTCCAGGAACTTTAGGCCAGAGGGCAGCGAGGCGTTGCTTTCCTTTGGCCGGTGATGTGGCAGAAGTGCCAAAATTGATCAAAATTGCATTAAGAGACTCATAGGCTGGCTATGACCCCGTCTCGTGCTGACTTTGGATGTTCAATTTTCTTACACGTCCTGTTCAAGTTCAGAATGAGCCATTCAGCGTTGTACACAAGTGAGGAGGACAGTTTGCACGAAACCATGAGGCCAGCAGCCTGGTTGAGTTACGGGTGTATGAGATGATGCTAAGATGCGGGGTGGGTTAGAGTGGCACCATGAAGGGGTGTGGCCACCTTGGATGATTGGCCATGGAATTTCTGGCCTTCGGACCTTCAAGCATCCGTCAGACCGTTTCAGAACCTCAGAACTTGGCATGTTCACTAGGTGATGGTTTCGGATGTTTCTATGTTCAACCTTTACTTGGGATGATTGAAGCCACTGACTCATATTGTTCAAGTGGGTTGAAAGCACCAATTCAGAGGTTGCGAAGTTCCAGGCAAACCTCGACACCACTTCTGAAGACGGAGTCAAGAGTCCAGAGGGATAAATCTATATATATATATATATCTTGTGCACCTGACATTGTGCTTCACCCGGAAAGTTCGCCTTGCAAACACCTTGCTGGCTTTTCCGATGTGAAGTGTGGGGATGGTTGTTGGTGGAAGATGTTGTTTGGTCAGTCCATAGATTATATATTGCAAACACAGCCATACTTTAGCCTCCTTTAGCCATGAATTACAAAATGTGGCCCAACATCGGGGTTGATCGAAAAGGTTTGCGCACAACACTTCACATGTTTAGTTGGAATACAAAATCCGTCACGACAGTCCACTATTTTTACACCCAAGTATAGGTGTATGTCGCTTTGCAAGGGTTGCACCTCCCAAACTTCCGTGCTCCAGGCGTCCTTTGAGACGTGAAGCAACTTTTGAAATGCTAGGGGTGCTCCCTACATGATGCCTGAATGCCTGATGCAGTCAGCCCTGTCAGGTGACCTGTTGAGGTTGATCATTTGCCTTCTATGGGTTTGAGATAATTTAAAATTCACTGGGATTGTAGGCCTACGGCAAGCAAGAGACAAATGAGCTGGAACATGTTCTCAAATAGAGGTTTTTAGTTTGATCGAAACTTTTGTGGTTAATTACCACATTGGAATGAGGAGGTCATTGGTTGGACTACCTCTCAAGGTCTCTCACTCAGTGAAAAACGGGTGCGCTGCTGGTCAAGCATTGTGCTCATCAGGCCACCAATTATAGCCCGGAGAACCGATTGTAATGTCCTTGAGGGGTCCTTAATTATTTTCTACCAATGGCTTCTTTATAATTTTGGTCCTTTGCAGCTGTCCCTTTTCAGATCGTTCGTTCAAGTGATTCTGACCTGCTGCTCAAGCTGTTGTTGAAGCTGCCCTGGTTGAGAGCCCAAGTGCCCGCGTGCCCTTGACCGTGCCTGTTTGGAGACCCCTTGGCAAATATTTGGAGAGATATGGAGAGTTTCTCAAGGATGCCAATGTGACAAGCCACGAACTTGACTGAGAAAAGCACTGAAAGACAGGGCACACTGAAGGGACACCAATAGGTTGGAGAAGGGTAAAAGACCCTTGTCATCGTGTCCGGAACTGCGACGCAGAAAGTGGGTGCCCGGAACTGCGTGAAATCACGATCGTCCCCTTCTTCGAGTTGGCTCTACTAGTACTAGTAGCCACCCCAGGTTTTGGTTTCAGGTACCTTGTAAAGGTACAGAACTGTGATAACCCGAAGTAAGTTCATGAACACTTCAACACTCTCAGTGGGTCACGAAGTAAGTGTTTGGTGGAAGATCCAGCACCTGGAAGGCCCGCACTGATGTGCAGTTCTTGGTGACGAGGACGAAACCAGATTGGAAGTGCCATCGTGGGACAGGACAAACTTCTTTGGTATTTCGATGACCCAGCAAAGCCTAGATTCATCAAGTGTTGTTCACGTGCACGATCGTACATGACTCAGCATGAGCTTTGTTTGAAGTCTTTTTTCTTCAAGCTCACAATTCGGCTTAAAAGCCAAGGATCACTACTGATCAGACTATGCTGCTCCTTTCCGCAAATGTTTCAGCACAATTTGTTGCAGCTGGCGAAGTAGGTCGAATCAAACGCATCACAACACCAAATGCATCAAAACACCAAACCCAACCAGAGGGTGTTCCTTTTTGTTGGGGTTATCCTGGAATTTAGGGATTTTCTTCTTTGCTGTCAGGCTTTCTTCTCCCTTGGGACTTATATGTCGCACCGCCCCAACAGACTCTGGACCTCAGCTGGAGAGGTCTTGCTCCATTTTCCTTCTTTCCAGGCAGTCTTGGGGTGGGTCTCCGGTCTCCCTGTTGTATGTAATGCAAACCCATATATTCTGTAAAGGCTTGACGGTACGATTATAGATTGTTGTTGGTTTGGTTTGGTTTGGTTTGGTTTGGTTTGGTTTGTTTGTTTGCTTGCTTGCTTGCTTGGTTGGTTGGTTGGTTTGGTTTGGTTTGGTTTGGTTTGGTTTGGTTGGTTTGGTTTGGTTTGGTTTGGTTTGTTTGTTTGTTTGGTTGGTTGGTTGGTTGGTTGGTTTGTTTGTTTGTTTGTTTGTTTGTGTTTGTTTGTGGTTGTTTTTGTTTTTTTTGTGTGTTTTTTTGTGGTTCCTTTGGGAGAAACCTGCCGGCTTCCCATGCGTCCGGCCACCTGATTTGGCAACGAAGCGGACGTCTTGAACTTGAGTGATTAGAAGAAGAAATTGAGTAATGCTCCTGACGATTTCCAACCTCAAATTCCCAACATCCAGTGTTGTCCCAACAGTCTTGGGGACGCAAAGGAAGCCTTTGGTCATCCCATTCGCCAGTTTGTGTGATTCATGTCCACCGGCTTGAGGCTGGGCCTGAAGAAGAGCAGCTGGAGCAGGCTGGAGCAGCTGCAACGAGGGTACTGACTGGCCTACCCAGTCAGTGGATAACGTTGAACCCTTTTGAGGGATTGGTTCCCCCACTCAAATCCAAGAGGTGGTTGTTCCAGGGTTAACTCTATGGTTACCCGGTATTTTTCGGGGAAACTCAGGGGTCCCTCGAGGGTAAGGCGACGGTTTTGGAAAGGAAACAAACCGATGAAGGATTCAGGTTCACTCTGCACGTCGCTCTCTTGAGGGGTACTCAGGAAGATGTGTTGGTCAAAAGGGGTTAATCAGGCATTTTTAGACAAGAGCTTTAGATAGCTTTAGCATATTACATCTATATACATGGTCTACACATGTCTACACTACATGTTGTTTGTTCAGAGTTGTTCGGAGGCAAAAGCACCCATTTCACAAAAATATTGGCGTCCTTAAAAGGTTGGAAGACCTTGTTTTCAACGCAAAGCCACATAGGTAAAGGAGTAAAAACATGGCGTCATGTGAGCTGCTCGTTCCTCACTCATGGGATCCTTGTGGTTCACTCATCGCTTGGGTTGGTCCGTTCTTCTCCGGGAGGCATGGCTGAGCATGACGTAAACATGTTGACCAAGCAGTACATATGCCGATCAGTTTGGGTGGTTTTGGAGGTTCAATGTAAGCATATATGGCATACATGGAGTCTATGGGGTATAATGCAGGGATTCGACCAGAGCTTTTTCACCCGGCCGAGCCCCGTTTTAGCCTTCTTTGTCACAGCCGGATTCGCCAGGCCTCACACGCCGCGGATGAGCAACTTGCACGCACTTGCCGTGTGGTCTTGTGAGGAATTGACTGGGCAAAACAAATGATACATTTGATCATGTTTTTCTTGCTTAGAATCTGCTGCTACAAGTTCAAGTCATTGTTTCAATATACAGTAAATTACAGTATATATACTGTACTGTAACTTTTAATCACCAAACTCCGTGAAAGGAAGCTGAACTCATTCTGGAAATTCCCAGACTGAAACAGTGAAAACAAGATCCCCAAATACTTTCGATTAGCCGTCTTCGACCAAACGAGGCAGTGCTCATGACTTCGTTGCCAGCATCTTTGCATCATGGGCCGAATACGCTTCTTAAGCTTTGACCACCCCGCCGCAGAATCTGGTCGACCAACCACCAACCAGCAACCACTGGGACCGCAATCTGATGGCTTCACCCGAGAATTCTCCACCGTTTGGAATGGCGAACCGCGGGCGACTCGAGGAAGAACTGCGGCCCGGGTTGTTGGGGTCCGGCACTGCAAAGCACGTAAGCCTTCGGTGGGGACTTGCTCGTTATGCAACGTGCACAAAGTAAATGGTCGAAGATATGTGTGAACCGTCAAGGTGATAGTCAGCTACAGATCAATTGGTTGGCTTTCCAATTGTTTTTTTACTCGGCAAGTCTAACATCCGTCTTTTCCTGGCACCTTCTCATGCTCATGCCTCCCGCCAGGTGGATTGTGAAGTTCCAAAGCACTGGGCAGGTTCCGGGATTGGGCGGGAATCAAGCCACATGTTGCAAGTCTATTCCCAGCTAGAGGCTATGGCTCCAACAAGAAGAAGCAGGGAACCGCAGACGTTGGTTCGTTTGTCCCGGTTCCCTTTTTGAGCGCCCTGTGGACCAGACACGGAGGGTCTTCACAACATCGCCAAACCTAGCAACAGCTTAGCAAAGAGTTTGTCCTGGGTCAGTGGACTGACTGAAATCTGAAGGAAAACCATAAGTCCACGACTCTCGAGAACATGATGTCGCAGCGTGGACAGCAAAACAATGTGGCTCTGACGCGAAGAGAAATAGACCCCATGAACTCCGTGGGGCAGGAGACTACAATATGAAGTATCTTAGATTATGTAGTCATATACTAGACTATATACTATAATTGTAATATTCTCTTGGGGCATGAAAGTCTACTTTAGATGCTTGAATGCTTTTTCTGATTCAGCAACCGTGACTTCTATCCGATGTGAAGCCAAAGATGCGGAATGACATGTTAAGACCAGAAATATGTGAGTGAAAAGGACTCCAGGTGTCCCAAGGTTATCGTGTAGAACACTTGCACTTTCGTGTTCCTGCAAGATCTTAGTACTGTTAGTTCGTAAACAATTGATTATATGTTGATACATTTTACAATCTGAATAGGGAGTTATTAGTCAAGATTATATATACATGCGTTTTCTTCCTTGTTTTTCAGCTTGGATTGAAGGTAGCGGCCTTCTTGCTGTGCAATCATTATCATAGCAGATTTGGATTTCCTCCTGGTCGAAACCTGGTCCATGAGCGACCCAAACCTGATCGCTTTTTGGCTGCGCAGGGGGTCTCCACTATTTGAGATGCACCTAACAGCCGGCTGATGACCCCGTAACTTCTTGAAGTGTCGCAAAACCCTCCCTATCTCTCCCAACATGTTGGACCGCGTGCAACCAGTCAAAATAAATTTGACTGATGCATTCCGAATTGGTTTGGTACCTTGAAACAGAACTTACTGAGAGTCCGAATGGGGTGTCTTCCGGGTCCGCGTTCGCCAGGAACTCACCGCGAAGGTCCATGCCGCGCGCTGCAGCGGCGATGTGATGCGCGGAGACTTCGAACAGGTCGGGGCCAGCCCCGTTTTGGGATGGATGCTGGGCGTCGGATGAGTCTGAAATCCAGGTGTTTTTGCTGGATTTCTTGGGTGGGATTCATTGCCAGAGACGTTTTTGCGCACAAAGTCGACAGGAATTCGTTTGCGAGCATTTGCAGATTTCTACTCAGTATTGGATGGGCCATGCCCCACTAGTCATAATACTTGGATGGTTTATGTAGTTTTTTTGGATCTATGTCATATGTGTATCGATTTACATCATCCTACTCTCACGGCGTTTGTTTGCTTGGATGAAAAGGAAGCACCATGGAATAACATTTGGATCTACCATGGGCCATGAGTTTCATTGTCCCTTTTTCAAATACCTTGGAACGCCGGAATGGCCCGAAGCGCTACGAATTGGTGCCAAAACCTGGAGGTCGAAGCTCGTATGCAGAGGATGGAACGCGATGGCTTAGAGATCGACGAGGAGATTCGGAAGCAGAGCAGACGATGCGGAAGCGAAGTCTGTTGGAGATCACTGATTTTACAAATGAACGTGAAGTGTTTGGGATTCATTACTCCTGACACTTATATAAGATGATTGATCTTAAGATTTGTATTGACCCTGGCATTCTTGTTGAGCGAGCGAACCATGCGGCTTTGGGGCGCCAACCTGAATGCTGGATGTTTGGCTGGTTGTGTTTCACCCGGCACTTGCTGGAGTCCTCGGTCAGTCTGCTTGCTTTTATGATGTGCGTTTCATGACCCTTTTGAAGGACTCAAAAGTGTGAAAGATCGGAAAATTACAAAACTCATGTTTTTGTTTACTTTAAATAGGTTATAATATATAGTTGGTACGTTACAGTATGACATTGTGGTATATAGCCTAAAGCAAGACCGCGTGATTTTCCTCAAGTATATATATATATATACACATGTAGCCCCAAAATACAACCTTGTTTGGTATCCCCAAAATCAAATGATATGTAGAAACAAAGGCTGCAAAAGTTTGCAAAAACACATATTGTATATCGAGAACAGCTCATATGTCGCTGTTTTGCATAGGTCAAGTACCGTAATTTAGCCTTCGTTCAACAAATTTAGATACTGGTCGCCAAGGGTCTGGGAGAATGAGAATCTATGAAGTTCCTCCACCACAGTTCTGCCAGTTTCTGTCTTGGGAAACCACATATGTTCTGTTTGTTCTTCGAAGCATGGGGTCCCAGGCCTGGGTGCCTTCCTTTGAGTCCAATAGAGACGAGTGGTCGTGAAGGGCCTCGGTGGACCCGCATCGACCCGCCTCGAGGTCCCGCCTCGACCCGGCCGTAGGACGCTTTGACGGTTCTCCTGTTGGCCTACGGCTACGCGAAGCCACAGCAAACCCTGCTGGCCGAGCAGATGTGAGGGGCCTCGGAACGGCTGAGCAGTGGGGAGGGCCTAAGGGTATCTAAGGGTTCCTCACAACCAGGAGGAACACCTGAGGTTCTTTGGAACCCCCCGTTCTCCTCATGTTTACTCTTGGTCCCTGGGTTCCGGAATTGTCTCAAAGCCTGAGAAGAGTACAAAACAAGCGATGCAACGTGAAGTTCAGATCATTCCCGTCGTGGCAGTTTGTTTGCTGTTTGAGTCTGCATCGATTCTAATTTGTTTGAACAAGAAATGGCGATAACTATAACAAAACCGATGACCTTTTGTATATAAAACCACACCTGTGCACTTAACAATTTAGCCTAGCAAATTTGGCTGAAAAGTGAGCTTGAGCTGTGCAACTGCGTTTGGGGTGAATTTGCAGGTTGACGGGTCATGTTACCAAGAGTGTCGAAATCCATTGAAGATGTCACACATTGTCAGAACTTTGCAAACGATACGACGTGTTGCACATTGCCAAAGCAGTGCAAAACAATACCATTTGTGTTGGGAAAAGCACTGTTCCACCATTTTGTACACACTCACCGTGGACCCGGTCAGACCTCGTTTCCGTTCTGATTCGTTGCCCACCAAGATGAAGAATTCGTGTGCACGCATGACTCCAATGGACACCCACCATGTCACTAAGTTCATCCACAGATGAGGATGAGGATACGAAGCAAATGGAACAGGCACGCCTTTGACATGGCGGAGGACATGCGTTTTCACCCTTCGCTCCCGCCGGGCGTCCGAACCCACCGAACCCGTGGTTTCGGAGGTTCAAGCAGCAGATGCTGCGAGGGAAGGTGAAGGCGACCAGAGAGGTCCTCGAGGCCGGTCCGCGAAGGGTCCCTGATCTGCGAGCACCATCGGGTTGGCATTGCAGATCAACATGACATGTCAGCTTGCTTGGGAGTGTTTCATAAATTCGCAGTCAGCGTGCGTTGCTTTGCATGGTGATTTTGACATCAAGTAGTTCAGACGAAGATTTTACTTGGGAGGTGAAGTGAGAGACACATCACATCACACTTGGGAGGCATGGCTCACATGTCGAAATCAGCTTTCTCAGTGCATTTGCAGTATTCTTAAAAATGTTATTAACATGTGGCCCGAACTCGTACCCCCTCTCCATCCTTCTCTGAATCATGCCATGCAATTTCCCCATGCCTCATTTTTAGATGTACCTTTGTATGTGCTCTCATTGACTGGATTGATATGGAGCCGGCAACGAGGGACACTCAACGCGATCAGTTGAAGCCCTTCCGTCAAGGGCTTCGGTTTGCCTCAACTTCTGGGGTGTGGGCAAACACCGCCATTGCCTGTTTGCATGACAGTTGCAAAGATTTGCCATTCTTACGCTTAAGAAGATTGATCATCATGGCTTCATCACCCGTGGAATGCTCTCATGGCAGCTGCAAATCCCTCACTTTGGGTCCTCACGTGACCCTTTCATATTCTGCATATTTCTGCATCATTGCAGCATTGCAACCTGGAATGCACTCCACGTGCATTGGGACCTGCAAGCGCCAGCCATGGCTAGCCATCCGTTCGGAGAAACAGGAGCTGGTGTGCGTTTTGCTTTCAGTGTGAGGTGCACATTCCCAGAACCAGCTGTTCCGTCTCCCCGTCTCCGGTAGCACCGGCACCAGCCGGGTCGTCCCATCTCCGTCAGGCCTTGCGCCTGGCGGTCGGCGGTGCTCGCTGCCTGCAGCTCAGGCTGCGGCCTGGACAGCCAGAGAGTGTGGGGCGGACGTTTCCTCGTGTTGTGTTGAGTACGAGCAATGATTGTTGCAGCGCGATCCGAAGAATCAGGCTACCCTTCAAGTGACGCCTTACATGGATGGTTGTTTGCTTTATGAAGGGTGGTGTTCAGTCCGCTCAGTGGGGTCTTTGGGTGATCCCTGAACTCAATAGGCCTTGTTTTATGGTCCCCTTCCTGTACATGTGTGTTTTTTTGTCCACCTCTTGCACACGGGGACTTGTAGGAAAAGTCATCATGCATGGGTCATGGGCGTCATGGGTCACTGTTCTATCAGGTCGCTGGTTCACACGTGCTTTGGTATATCCTGCTCGTGTGTTCTTCACAGTGTCTCATCATAGGGAGCAATCAGAAGGCTTTGCAGAGGTCTTGCAGGTTTTTCCCATCAAAACTCATGCAGGAGCAACGCCCCAAAAAAGTCCCCAAAACGATAGGCTTTCCGATGCCACGTGGTTGTGGGATGTTGTGAATCGGCCAGATAGTCATAGAGCAATCCAAAGGAAATGGACTGAAATGGATTTCATTTAGGCAACCGCACTAACCCAGCTTAAACCCAGCTAAATGGATTTCCATGGGTGGAATTTAGGCCAAATCCATCCATCCCCGGCCACTGGCTGCGCCGGGCCGTCACGGGCCGTCACGGGGTTTTGTTGGACCTCTACCGACCGACCGGAGAGCTCCAATCCACCGACCGACCGGAAAGTTCTCGGGTTGGACCGTCGAATCCTGAGATGAGATGTTTGTTGAAGATGCTTTTGTTACCTGTTTAAAATCCACGATGACATGTCCACTAAGGAATATCAACAGGGATTGTTTAACTGATGTAGCGCTGGGTAATTGAATGATCGATATTGATTACTGTTGAGAAAAGTTACTGTTGAGAAGCATAAATAAAAGAACGCATTCTGGACATAAATTGAATTGAAAAGTCCTTTGCAGTTTATAAAAGTCCGCAGTGCGATTTGGTTTTCAGACATGTCCAATGTTGAGGATCTGACTCAAAGAGGATTTCAATATATTTCAATGCTTGTTGGATGTATATACTCTCATTTCGCAGGCGTGAGTTGCAGATCGGCACGCCCGGGATGCCCAGCGTGAAGGTGAAGAGTCACGTGACACGAAACGCACGACTTTGGGTTTGAAACTGTTGGGTCGAGAGTGGACTCTTTTGCTTTGGTACGAAAGCGGTAGCTGAAGTGCCGAATTCGCTCATGTTCTCCGTCTTCGGTAGCTTTGAAAGCAATGGTTTGGAATGTACTACTGAGACTGGTTCTTTAGGTCAGGTCTGGTTTTCTCGCAAGAAAAAGGGATTGAGTGGATACACTTCACAGGCATACATAGCCCGAAACCTTGGAGAAGGAAGAGGATTCTTCGGATTCCTGGGTTGGCCCTTTTGCTTTTGGGAAGGCGAGAAAAGGGTAGGGTAGGGTAGGTGAGACTGACGCACAGAACCGACACAGATGGATCTCGATTTGATCTAAGGACCAAGAAGTCTCCGTCGGGGCCCCAACGCAAGACTTCCGCTGTCATTCTGGTGGCACCCAACAACAAACCCAGGAAGCCACAGTACACTCCCAGCCAAAGCTTCTCCTGGAGACAGGGCTTCATTGGGCCAATCACTGAAGAGGACAGTTTCCGCTGTTCAAAAGCACAGGAGGGAGCAGTCAGCAGAAGTCCAGAGCTGAGGAATTCCAGTTTTAGGTTCAGTATGGCCGATGACGTTCCTCCATTTGGCACAAGGCGCTATCTCTCCTCAAGAGGCACTGGATGATCCCACTTTAAGATAGCTTTAGCATGCTTAAGCAGCCTTATTTCTATGGGAACAAATAACTCCAAAGAAAAAGACACGGACCCCAAAAAAGGTGGTAAATAGGCGTCGTCGACTCCGTGTCTCCGTGTCGCGAGCGAGTGGGGCCAAATGGCAGAGCTCCGTGTCTCCGCTTCGACCGGTCCACCTGAATTGCACAAGTCACCAGATGTCACCAGCCCGCAGGCAAAGTGGTGTGCCAGAGGTGCCAAGTTGTTTTCGGCCTTCCCAAAAGGTTTTAAATGAATGCGGCCTCCACAAGGACAGGTGTATAAAGAGTTGTTTACTGTATACACCTTAAGAACATTTACACACCCTACGGCTCAGCCCATGATCCATACTATGGGCTTTGCTCCGTTCCAACAGCGGGCTGCAGGGCGTTGAGTCGCCTGGCGCGACTGTCTCTCCCAGGCAGGAGGCCATTGACTATGCGGCCAAATCGGCAGCGGCCCGGACCCTACCGGCAACCGGGACGAAGAAAAACACGCAGTTGGGCCAGTTGCCTGGATTTCGTGGGTAGCCAGTATCCCAGTATGTTCAAACTAGACGTGCAAAGAATGAGTTTGCTTGGCGCTTTTGTTCTTCCTGGCTGGACTTATTATGTACATGGACTGTACACTGTATAGATATGTATAGATCTTATATATATATATATACGTGTATATATATATATATGTATATTGTTGCAGACACATGCAGACACCACGTGTTATGTGTTTTGCCAGAATACAAGAGATACAAAACAACGATCTTTCCCAGACATGAAACGAGTGAACCTCCTAATCTTTGAACGTAGATCAAATTTAACATCAACTCTGGAACCCTTAGAAAGCATCTAGGAACAAGTGCATCGCTACTAGTAGCTAGAAGCTATTAGAAAGCATCCCCATCACCCACCAAACCTCAGCCATCCTCCCTTTTCGCCAGGGGAAGAACCAAAACCCCATGGGCCGGAGTCGGAGTCGGAGTCGGGGCCTGAGGACGTCACAGCAAACCGCGCTCTCAGTGCACGGAGGGATCCATGTAGACATGGGATTCAATTGTGCATTCAGGATCATTCAGGTCCCTTCTTCTTTGGACGTCCCTTCTTCTTCACTGAAGTTGATTCGGTGTATGTTCGCCCGAAGCCAGATGGCAGACCCGCAGACAGAAGCCAAATGGAATTCAGAGTCGAGTCTTCCAGTCACCCATGACCATGACCGTGCATGGCCTTTATATATATATATATGTATACCCTCCAAAGATTGAACTCTTTGATGCATGTCTTCTTGGAGTTAGATCACCCTCAGTCAGGGCCATCACCCAACTGCCACGCGTCGCCGTGCCCACGCGCTCCAGGTCGTGTGTGGAAGAGTTTCCTCCCGCCCGAGCCGCCACAGAAGCGTCTCAAGTGGGAATGACCCAACCGCGCGTTGGGAAAAGGAGGAACGGCGGTTGGGCCGGTGTTTGTCCATGCCAGGTGAAGAGCCCCTTTGGATTTGGGCGGGAGATTGGAGAGAGTGAACTACTGATTCTATACGTAGAAATACCATCGCGTGTTTTTACCTTTGCAGATGGTGCAGGAAATAAATCCTTCGATTTCAATGATGAATGTTGTTTCAACGTACTTAGCGATGGCATCCCAGTCTTGGGCTTTAGTGGAATGGAGTAGCCCAGGTTCGAGTCTGGATCCAACCCAAAGTGCATGGCTCAGAAGATCATCTCCATATTCGAATATCTCCCAGTGCTGGATTTACAATTAAGTACTGCAAGGAAGAAACGTCAGAATCCATTTATTCTGTTGTTTGTTTCCTTTGCTTTAGATCTTTTAGCAGTGTCCACAGTGTCATGGACTTCAGAATGATCAAGATGCACCGGATGATGAACTTAAGGATGACTGCCATTGAGGTACAACCTCGCGAGATGCATGACTCGAAGGATGACTCAAGGGTTGTCTTCATGGATGACTCCAATGTACAACCTCACGAGAGGAGAAGATGTTGCAAGGTCAAACTCAACCACCTGGTAATTGGAACGCCGATTGGCCAACGGATCCTTCCTTCCTGGCAGCTCTGGCTCAGAATGTCTGGAGGTGTGCCCTCCACCCATTTTCGAGGTGAAGACGGAACACTTGCTTTTTGAACCAGACTTGTTGAGGGAGAAACCAGGATGGCGCCCTAGTGAAAGGTAGACCACCAAAAGGATCCATGAGGTTAAAGGGGTGTGGCTCAAGACCCAAGAGCCCCAGGGGGTCAAACGATACGTCCTTTACCAGTGGTGGTAAACCATAGCCAAAGGATGCCAAAGGAATGTTCATAATGTCTTTGTGCCCGACTGAATTTGGGGGGCAGTCCAGTCCAGACATGTTTGCTGCCCTTGCAGACCTACCTCGATGGGATTCCAGAAGGCTCGGGGTTTCGCTGGCGCTCGCTCGCTCGCTCGCTCTCTCCCTCTCCCTCCCCCTGCTGGTGTTTTATTGCATTGTGTTTTTTTCGTTCACTTGGATACATGAAAGCTATGGAGTTTTTGCCCGCAGCTCAGATGAGTTCGGGCCAAGAGTGAAATCGAGGCAGCTTCGGTCCAAATCCACTCAGTCCCCTGCCCCAGGTCTGAAGAGGGTACAAAACACGTCCAGTCCTGCGGTCTTCTGTGTATCTTGCATTGAGAGTTGGATCAACCATTTGGTCAAGAGTAGATTCCGTTGCCAAAACACTGAAAGGCCGTTCACGGCTGTAGACTATCCTCAGCTTTCAAGTGAAATGACTCAACTGGATGTGATTAACGCTGTGCCGCTCCAGTCTGAATGTTGGTGAAGCAATTCACCAGATACCAGCCAGTTCTGCTTCTGATCGAGCATGTGTTTCCACTTGCATGGGCATGATTTGTTGATTTCGCGACCAGACAGCAAGGTTGATTGGGGGCAGTTTTGTGTTGTTGTATGACACATTCGGTAGTTAGCTCTTGATGTGATGAACGCTGTGCCGCTCCAGTCTGAATGTTGGTGAAGAAAAGCACCAGATACCAGCCAGTTCTGCTTCTGATCGAGCATGTGTTTCCACTTGCATGGGCATGATTTGTTGATTTCGCGACCAGGCAGACGTCAAGGTTGATTGGGGGCAGCTTTGTGTTGTTGTATGACACATTCGGTAGTTAGCTCTTGATGTGATG